CTGTACTTTTATATTCAAAACAACTATCTTCTAAAGCTGCTAAAATCAGTATCTATGAAAAAGAGAAATAAATATGATATCAAAACTCTCTATACTAGCTTCTTGCTCTCACATTGCTTATCTCATATTGCTTATCATACTGTTTTCTAAAGCACTTTAGAATTAGTATTTTCTAAAGAATTAACATCATCTCAAAATTCAGCATTTGAGATCAGCACAGATCAACACTTCTCAAAAATCAGTTCTTTAATATCAGTACTTTTTAAAGAATAGAATCAATATTTCATAAAGATTCAGATCACTATATTATTAATTTATCATTTTATAAAAAATTAAAAATAAAAACTATTATTATTTATTTATATATATAAATACTTTAAATCTCTAAAGTTCTTTTAACAGATATAGTAATTAGCTACTATTCAATTCTATATATATATTTCATTCATTGCAATTCTCTTCTCTTTATAGTACTTATAACATATATATATTTACTCATTTACAATTTTATTTATAGAGCTTTTTATATTTTTTTTGATACTTAGTTCATTCATCTTAATGTTCTCATAATAAAAATAATTACTATTTAAATAAATTATTTATTTAAATTTATCAATTAATAAATATTATTAATTAATAAGTTTTATTAGAATATATTATTAGTTATTTTAATTTTTTTTTGAAAAATTAAGAATCTGCGATGATTTTTTTGATTTATGATTTTTTATAATTACAAGATGATAGATCATTAAATTAAGCAGTTATTTTAAATAATTGATTGGAAATGTCATTAAATTATCAATAAGCAGATTATAAATTAATCATAGTATTCAAATTTTCATTAGAATCTGAGCAAAAAGAAGTAGAGAAAAACTTAGAATTATAATAAAGAGTGAATGACAAGTTGTATAAAAAAGAATTCTCTATGTTGCTAACTGCTATATAATGAAATACTAAGCTTGATTAAGAGAAAGAAGATAGAGTCCTTCACCTGTATTATAAACAACATGAGATCATATGATAAGAGATAAAAAATCTAATTTCAGCACTGAAATCATATGTCAATCTCAGCGCTGAGATCGCGGAGTTTTAGCACAGATATATTTTGAAATGATTAAAAAATAATTAATAAATACTTTAAAAGAGATTAATCATTGATAAAAGAGAAATTATTATAATATTTTTATCATTTCATCTCTCTTTATATGTCAATTTTGTTGGGTATGACCGCCCAGTAGCCGCACCATCTCACATGATATACGTGTATTTTAGTTAGCTAATCAGTCCTCCTATCAATGGAAATTTAACCATCCTATAGATAATAGCTTGGATGATATGTTTTTGCAATAAAAGCATATTTTTATTCAAAATTTCATTGTATCAAAGATAATTAAATAAGTTCAACTAGATTTCTCTTAAATATACTCTTTTTACATTAAAAAATTTTAAAAGAATACTGTTTATTATTAAAAAATAATGATAATATTTATAAAGAAATCAAAACAAAAATATTAATTCTATAAAAAAAAGTTTTTTTTGCAATAAAATCAGAAAATTTTACAGATTACAAGAAGTAATTATATTTTTTAAAGAATTAAATTAAAAATATTAATTTTATAAAAAATATATTTTTTTTTTATAATAAAATCAGAAAATTTTATAGAAATATTATCTGATTGCAAGAAGTGATTATGTTCTTTGAAAAATTAGCACTTATATTATAATGAATAAATTATCTTCTATCTTTAAATTAGAATAAAAAAAATTCTTATATTATTAATCAAGATTTTAAGATTTATTTTTTTCAATGTATAAAGAAAAGTACAATCAAATATTAAAGTCTAACTCAGCAAATAAAGAAGAAATTAAATATTCATTGACAGAGAAAGTAATAAAAAATATAAATTTTAGTCATAATCTGAGAAAAAGATTTATGCATTATAAATTATATAATAAGACTTTATCTCTCATATCTATCTATATTCTTATATCTACTTCTAATACAAGTAACATGATCATTATGACTGCAGCTAATTTGATAACATTGTGTCAACAAATGATAATTATTTAATAAAATACTCAAATCAATGAGAATATCTCTATGTATACTTTAAAACAGAAAATATGTGAATATTATAAAGAAGTACAAGTCTTGATAAATATAAAGATCATAATGATATTTGATGAAATCAACTATTAGATCTAAAGAATTGACATTTTTACAGATATGAAGATCATTGATGACACAGATATCTTGATGAAGAATCAGCATAAATCATATTAGAACATCAATATGTTGAAAAAAAAAAATATTGAATAGTATATATGAAGGTTTTATATTATTGACTATTAAAATAATTATTAAAACTTATATATATAATAATTAAAACATTAGAACTGAATAATATAGCTACTCTATGATAGAAGATTAGTTAAAAATATATT